ATAAAATGACAGAGTTCACCGAGTAAGCATTTTGATGACAAAAATACAGTTTGTTTTCATGGGGTCACCTTGGTCAGCCCAGGGGGATTTGCTCAGAAAAATCCCCCAAGAAACAGCATACAGTATTGTTGTACCTCAGCACACCGATAGCCTAGAATAACTGAAGAATGATTTTCGTAATCTTTTCCCCCACCATCCCGTTCAGACAGTGTAGATTCTGCGGTAACATTATAAAGGGGCGGTGCGGGACGACTGAACAAAACGGGGCGGTGCGCGTTGTCAGGCGATGCCGTACAACAGCCGGGCGAGGACGAACCATAACTTTCCCGAACCACCCTTAATATCAACAACAACAAGAGGAACACAGCTTACCTGTGATATATATTACTTGTTCCTGGATCCCCGGTTGGGCAGTGAAGATGTCGGTGTAGAAAAATATAAAAGTATAAAATATACAGGAGTGTTTTTGTCAGTCAGCCACAGCCGTCCCCGCTTGCGTCTAGAGTGAACTACCCTCAGCTGGTCTGGGCAGTATATATACACAGGGGTGATCCGCCCACTGGCACGTACTTAGTCCTCACAACTCCTACACTGAATCAACTTTAATCCCCTAACTATTTCAAATTACCGAGGTAAAATATTTTGTATATCACGGATATCGATATTCTGGTAACAAAAGTCTCAGAGTAGGCAAGATTTTACTAAAATTTCCGCAAAATCGTTGGTACTACTTTCTGTACTGCGACTGTGGTCAACGTTTCGGTAGGTAAGTCGGCGAATAATTCTATGACGGCACAGAAATACTGTCGTTTGATTGGTCGATATTTCTGGGGACGACGTGATTTACTTGGGCTGACCCAGCTGCTTGTGACGTCTGTGTACAAACAAGACTCTCCGCCAATCAGGAGCCGGGGTGAAATTAATGAGGCAGAATGGGATCGTCAATAGGACGGTGACGTCCGTGTGACGTCAAACAACCTGCTATTTTGGGCACAAAGGGGAAATCGATGGCTCACCTCCTTATATGGGAGGAGAACTTTCTCCCGCAGGCTGTGCGTGCGGGCTTCGCAAATCCGCCTTTTAACTCAAGTCAGGTGTAGGTGTGACCGCTGTTAGAATGCCCTAAATTGCTGATGAAAGATAGACGTGAATCGATTTGAACCCTACTGTCCCAGGAATTTTTAACCTCTTAAAATTGATGTCGACGGGCTTTGCTGTGCCACAGTTGAACAGGCCTAGGGGGGTTTTCAGGGAAAGAGGCCGGCTATCCTGTGAACTACAACTCCTACGCGATGTGTTTAACTCACCCATCGTGGGTGTAAATCGAATATGTTTAATAATGTAGCCAGCGCATTTTAGACAGAGATCTTGATTTTATGTATGTAATCCGATCAGGTACACTGTACTATATATGTTTGGGTTGTTTAAACGTTATGCTTTGAAGATATCTGCGAATCTCAAGAGGTGCGATCGAATAGGTTAGATATTTTT